TGCGCTGACTTCCATGGCGCCGCCACCGCCCTCACCGCGGCGGGCTGAGCTGGCTCCCGGCTGCGCCGCTGCTGCCCTTCACAACAAAAGCGAGCGAGACTCGCGGAGTGCGGCACGGACCATGTGACTCCCCCCGGCCGCTCCCGCCCCTGCTTCCCGGCGGGCTCCTCCCCGGCCCGGCCCCTTCACCCAGTGACACACTTTCTTGCCATGCGGAAAGCGGGCGCGCGCGTGCGGCTGTACGTGCCGGGGGGCTCTCGGGCACCGCAGCCTCCCCTCTCCCCCCGAGCCCGGCCTGCTTTCCTGCCCTTTCAGCCTGGCCCGCTCCCGCCCACCCCAGCCCTGCGCATGTTTGCGGGTGGGAAGCCCAGGGCTGCAAGGAGCCTCCAGGGTCTCTCAGTCCAGCCCCCAGCGCTGTTTGCTCCCAAACCACCCCAGGCGAATAGAGACACAGAGAAGTAGAGCTGGAAGGGCTCTTCAGAGGTCATATAGTCCAGTGGGTCTCAACTTTTTTTTGGTGCCAGGATCCATTTGTAAACAGCAATGGTCAGTCTTTGCCCAGTGCCCCTTACTCCCCACCCACCTACCCAGTGTGTGGGGTTGGGGGTAGGTATGCCCCCCCACCACAAGAGCCCCTCACAGGCTGGAACTCTGCCAGCCTGCAAGGGAAAAGCCACCGTTTCCCGTGTGTTTCTTCTTTAAACGTTTTTAACGTTTGCTTGTGACCCTGTCGTATACTTTTGCGACCCACTTCTGGGCCGCGACCCATGGGTTGAGGAACGCTGATCTAGTCCAACCCCTTGCCTGAGGCAGGATCATCCCTATCCAAGCCACCCCATAAAACCATAATCTGAGCTCTGCATAAGACTTACCCTCAACCCAGACACAACAGAGACCTAACACCCTAGCACTGCAAGTGTCGGGCAAAGGAGATGCTACTGCTGCTCTGTGTAATGTGTTCCCCCCTGTCCTGCTGATCTGACAAAGAGGAAGGGGTGCTTCTCCAGAGATTTGGGTCTCAACCTGCTTTGCTGTCTTTATCAGGCACTTTTTAAATACATTGTCCCATGTGAGAACCGGGGGCAAAGAGGAGACCCCCGCACTGAAGAGTTCAGGCAGCAGGGAATGGAGAGGAGTGGAAAACAGTTTGGGAGGATAACCACCTTGGACAGTAGACACAGAGCACTGGCTTTCCTGCCCTTCCTCACGGCAATGGTGAATTGAACTGGTGTTTCATGTCAGTTTTCCTTTTGATACAGTAAAAAAATTAAAATCTCACCTTTAAAGAAATCGAATCTATAATAGAAAAAAATCTCAAGTTGCTTCACTTGAAAGAGCAGGAAAACATGTCAAGGATTAAAATAATAGTAAAGGCAAGGATTACAAGCTAAATTGGCTCTTCCCTCTTGTCTGAGTCAGTCCATCAGATTAGAGCCCTGACCCACACCTTTGCAAGGATTTCCGATATTGTCTGCTCTCCATCAGAGCATGCTGATGTTGCAACTAGTATTGCAATCCTCTACCTCATCTGTAATGCAGGACGTGGCCACAGAGAAGTGCCTCAGGCATGATGATTGCACTTTTAAGCAACTATCATCTGCCACCATGTCCCTGTGCCAGTGCCACGCTATAGCGTAGACAGGAAATGTAAGCATTAATTGGAAGAGTGCGTTTAATTCCTTCGCTTCTAGTCTTACCATCATCATCCGCATGAACAATACATGCCCCTGGAGGCTGGGGGGCATGGCAACTGCCCGCAGGCGGTGGTGGCAATGGTGGGGGTGTGGCAGTGGTGAGCAGGGAGCTCCTGCAGGCAGCTGCGGCGGTGTTGGTGGCGGGGGGCTGGCGGGCAGCGACTGCCCACAGGAGCCACCGGCAGTGTTGGCAGCGCTTCTTTCAGGGGTGCACTGCCAATCTCGGAGTGCACGTGCACCCGCATGCACCCCCTACGCATCACCAATGATTATCTGATAATGTTGATAGCTCAGGGCACAAGTTTTCTTTCACCAATTCATTCATTCACTCACTACGTGTCAAGGGAATAAGAACAGTTTTCCCTGTTAGAAATGTAACCAGCTACTTACTCCCAAGTAAATCCACTTACTTTTCTCCCCAGACAACCCATTCTCTTCATCACCTCTGTTCCACTTCAGGAATGTGCACCCCCTGAGGCTTCTTTATACTATATGTGGGAGTAGGGACTGGCGGGCAGTAGGTATTATAATCAGTTTAGACCTGGATTGTTTCCCTCTGTGGACCCTAGGACTCAAAAAAGACAAAACACAAAACAAAAAACCCAAGAAAAGTATTAAAGGAAAAAAGCACCTGTATAAATGCCCCATCCTTCTTGCATACTATAGATGCAAAGCATGTAAGTAAAAAGAACCTACAATTTGCCACAAGCAAAGAACAAGAGAAACCATGTCTTGGCTGTGGTAGAAATTTGTAGCTCAAATATTCTTAGGTGATTTTAGAAAGTAGGCCATGCTCCATACTACAAAAAAAAAGGTCCTTGGCAATCTAACCCAAGGGAAATTTCCCTCCTGACCCTGGATCTGGCGATTGCTTTGACCCTGAGCATGTGAGCAATATCTAGCAGTCAGACATGTAAAAGATTTCTCAAAGCTATTTGGGAGCAACAGTGTAAACACGCCAAACTCCAATTTCTAGCCATGTCAAGCACCAATGCTTCTAAGAAAGGCAAATAAAACAAAACAACCCCCCAAAAGCCATTGCATTCAGAAAGGAAAAGCATTATGTCATGGCCCCAGTAGACAATCAGCAGAAGCCATGAAACAGAATTACCAGACACCTCTCATGTATGCAGGCAACCTATATAAGAAGTCAAATTTCCTTCTAACCCCTTCATGAGGATACCAAACACACAGTGCCACATAGCACATGCACTCTGAGTGCTGGTATTACTTCAAGAACATCTCTTTCCAGTCATATTGTCCCTTTCATAAACTTGTCAAGCTCTATATCAAAGTAATTTAGATTCCTTCCACCCCCCGACTACTTTGTTCAAAAGATCACTCCAGAACTTACTCCTCTAATGGTTAGAAATCTTATTCTAATTTCCAGTTTAAATTCTTTCATGTTCAATTTGATATTGAGCTAATAGCTCTTCCCCTTCCCTAACAGGCACCTCAGAATGTATTTATATAGAGTAATCAGATCCCTTCTTAACCTTCATTTTGCTAAGTTAAACAAGCCAAGCACTCTTAATTTCCATCATAAAATAAATTCTTCATTACTTTAATCACCCTAATAGACCTGTTCCAATTTAAATTCATCTTTAATATAGGTGATCAGAACTATACCTGCTTTTACACATGGGTCTGACCTGGGCCTCATACAATGGTGCTAAAACTACTAATTCTACTGAGAACATCCTGGAATCATATTAACCTTTTCCACAGACACAGCCACACTGGATGACCACAGCCACACAGAAGCCATGAATAACTAGTATACCCAGATCCCTCTCTTCCTCCATTACCTCCAAACTACAAGCCCCAATTTTATAGCAAAAGTTATTAGTCCATAATTACAACTTTTTATTATTTAATTTATAGTTTTTTACTATATTATACATCTATTAATATATAACATGTATTACTACTAATACATACTATATATATGAAATGTACAATATGTTACTATATAGTTTCTATTACTCCATACTATTACTGACTGAAGTCAGACCACAATCACTGAGCTCCAGTAAGCTGATGATGCTGTAGTATGTGCTCACTTGGAAGCAGACCGTCAGGCAATCATCAGTGTCTTTACCAAGGCATACAAGAAAATAGGACTGACGTTTAACATTCAGAAGATTAAGGTCCTCCACCAACAAGCTCTTCCCCAGCTCCGGTAATCCAGATCTAGTGAGACTCTGGAGAATGTTGAGTATTTCCCATACGTCGGAAGCCATTTCACAGAAGGCTGACATTGACGAAGAAATCCAAAATTGCCTCAAATGTGCAAGTGCAGCCTTTGGACACCTGAAGAAACAGATGTTCAAAGATTGTGACATCAGATCCAAAACCAAGCTCTCGATTTATCAAGCAGCCATGATCCCTACCTTGCTGTATGGAGATGAGACATGGACAATGCACAGGAGACATCTAAAGTTGTTGGAGAAGTACAATCAACGCTGCCTGAAGAAGATCGATCCTTCAAATCCAGTGGGAAGACAGATGCACCAACATTAGCGTCCTCATGCAAGCAAACACCATGAGTATTGAGGTGATGATCATCCAACATCAACTTTGTTGGAGCAGCCATGTCATCCAGATGTCAGGCTCCAGACACCCAAAGCAAGTTTTATTCTCCCAGCTCAGCCAAGGCGCATGCTCAAGAGGAGGGAAGAGAAAGCACTTCAGGGATGACCTCAAGTCCAGCTTAAAAAAATAAAGCATTGATGTCAACTCATGGGAGACTGTCGCCCAGGACTGCCCCAAATAGAGGAAGAGTCTGCTGCAGGAATCTCAGTACTTCAAAACCTTACAACAACAGGAGATGGAAAAGCGGGAGTGGCAGAAACAGTGTGTTGTGGACCAAATCAAGAATCCAGTGCATCCACCCCACACAGAAATACACATCTGAGTTGCAGTAGAGTCTGTCAATCCCAGGTAGGCTTCATCAGCCACCTTTGGACACACAGATAAGACAATCATGCAAGACAATCATCCTTGACTGTGAGTGACTGCTGATGAAAAAAACATTTCTATTACTCCCTCCACAAGATTATCTGTTTCTCCTGCATGAAAAACCAGTACTCATCCTCCCAACTTTGTGCTATCTACAAATTCATAAGCATACATATAGTTCTTGTACTAAGGTAGTTAATAAAACCATTAAACAGAATAGATCACAAGACCAGTCCCTGATGAATACCACTACTATTCTCTCTCCAGTTAGATAATTATTCTTTCAATATAGCCCATTGTAATATCCCTATAGCTAGTTCCTTATCTACTTTACAGTAGGAGTGTGCATTAATCCTCATCTTCCATTTTAGCTAATAATTTCCTGTGACATTATTGTATATATTCTGGGCTTCAATCCAATGTCTAGTCTGAAAGGGTGAGGTGGGCACACACTATTTTTCACCAATACATCTGCAAATGTGAGGGTGTGA